CCACTTGCCATTTAAAATTTTTATGGTGAAATTAATTTATTTTATAGGGTTGAAGTTTGGTGAACGAAAATAGCCAATTAACGTGTCCTCTTTGAAACTAAAGTTGACGTGTCTGAGCGTTTTTCGAATTAATTAAGTTAAATACGAAAAAATACGCCTGTTTTGTTTTTGGTGGCCCACCCTGTATGTATCATAAAGCAAAAGTGGCACGAGTTTTATTTGACCATATACCAGGTGTACAAGTATGAAATGCGGATTTTTTTCCAAAGAAAAACGTTAAATTCGGAAGAATGATAAAAAGTGGTTTATTCAAAATATGCTCCATTGCTAGTTACATATTTTTCCTATCTTTCGGGTAATTTGTGGATACCATGCCAGTAAAAATCTTCCCCTTTTGCCGCGAACCATTCATCGATCCATTTTTTCACATCTTCGAATGAATCAAAGCGCTACTCAGCAAGTGCGTGGCCCATCGATGCAAACAAGTGGTAATCGGAAGGAGCCAAGTCTGGTGAGTAAACCGCATGGGGTAGCACTTCCCAGTTGAGTGCTTCCAACGTGTCACGAATCGGTTTTGCCGTATGTGATGGAGCATTGTCATGGAGGAAAATTACCTTGTGTTGCCTTTGTCGATATTCTGGTCGTTTTGCGAGTAGCGAACGGTTCAAGTCGATCAATTGTTGTTGGTAGCGTTTGGTATTAACCGTTTCACCAGGCTGTAACAGCTCATAATAGACAACACCTTTCTGGTCCCACCAAACACAGAGCATCGTTTTCCTACCAAAGCGATTCGGTCTTGCGGTTGATGTGGATGGTGTGCCTGGGTTTACTCATGATTTTTTGCGCTTGGGATTCACAAAATATATCCACTTTCATCCCCAGTAACGATACGATGTAAAAACGACTTTCTTTTGTATCGTTCGAGCAACATTTCAGATGTGGTTTTGCGCCTTTCCATCTGCCTCTCGTTCAGTTCATGTGGTACCTATCTGCTGACTTTCTGAATCTTTCCCATCTCTCGTAGACGATTGGAAACAGCTTGTTGACTAACGTTCAATTGCTCTGCGAGTTGTTTTTGTGTTTGTGAATCGTCTTCGTCCAATAATGCTTGCAATTCCACATCTTCGTACTTTTTTGGCGGTTTTCCGTGTTCCTTGTCTGCAACATCGAAATCACCACTTTTGAAATGTCGAAACCATCGTTCACACATATCTTGCGATGGAGCATGTTCATCATAGGCTTCTCGAAGTAATCGGTATGATTCAGCAGCAGTTTTCTTCAAATGAAAACAAAAAATTAATGCTGTCCGCGAATGCTCTTTATTTGGCACAAAGTTCGACATATTGAACACAGCAAAACGATACTATGCAAACACTTTTTCAACTTATCACTTGTGAGCGTTGACTCTTGTTGATGACACAACAAAATGGCATATACGTAAAATTTTTATACTCCACGCTGCATTGGCGCACCATCTGTTGTCTCAAATCCGCACTTCATACTTGTACACCTGGTATGTATCACTGACAGCTAAGCGGTTAATTATATAAATTTTCTGGACGTTAAGATTAACGTTTTGAACATTAATAGATTTTTTGTTCAAGTCCAGAATTTAAATAAATAATATGAATGAATGTGAATAAATATTAGGTGTACAAATGAATAATCCAAATTATTTTAAGCAGTTATGAAATCAATTTTAAATTGAATAGGTTTTCCTGCTCTTTTGTGATTATGCAATGTTGACATACAGCTATTAAAAAGAACATATAGTTTGGCGAAAAGCGCAACATAACCTTCAAAAGTATTCAGTTCAGTACAGTCGAAAATGGCAACAAATTAGGTGCATATCCGACATTGCATTCTTTACGAATTCCAACAAGGAAAAAATGCTGCAAGAGCGTGCGAATCGATTTGTTCCTTTCTCGGCGAAGGTGTTGTATCGTACGATGTGTGCGTATTTTGGTTTAAGCAGTTTAAAAGCGGTAATTTTAGTCTAATCGACAAACAACGCCCTGAAGGCTCCGAAGTGCGATAATGATGATTTGGAACAACTGCTCGCTGAGAATTCGGCACAAACACAAAAAGAGCTTGCAGAATAGTTGGGAGCAACGCAGCAAACGATTTCCAAACTCCTACATGAGATGGGAAGGATCCAGAAAGAAGGAAAATGGATTCCGCATGAACTCACTGAAACCAACAAAAATAAACGAGTGGCAGCGTGTCTTTCTCTTCTCAATAAGCAGCGTCAAAAGTCTTTCTTGTGGAAAATCGTTACGGGCGATAAGAAATGGATACTCTATGACAATCCGAAATGCAGAAAGTCATGGGTAAATCCCGGTGAATCATCAAAATCGGTCGCAAAACCCAATCGCTTCGGAAAGAAGGTTCTTCTCTGCATTTAGTGGGATATCAAGGGCGTGCTTTATTATGAGTTGTTGGAACCGGGTGAAACCCGGCAGTTACTGCGGACTGCTACCAACGTCAATTAATCTGCTTGAGTCAAGAATTGGAACGAAAACGCCCGTATACTGGCAAAGGAGAACGTCCAGTGAAATTGTTGCATAACAACGCCAGGCTACACATTGCTTCCAATATAAAACCATAATGAGTCTTGACTGGGACGTCTTGCAACACCCGGCGTATTCACCAGACATTGCTCCATCCGATTATCACTTGTTCCGGTCGACGCCTTGTCCGATATGCACTTCCAATCAGTGGATGAGATCCGAAAATAGCTTGACGACTTTATCGTGTCCAAAGACGTAACATTTTTCCGAGATGAAATTCATCAGCTGCCTGAAAGATGGCTTAAAGTTATAGGAAGTAACGGCGAATACTTTGATTGAACAATTTAATTTATTTTCTTTTAAAATAAACTTTGAATGTAGCTGAAAAAAATTGGATTATTCATTTGTACACCTAATATATAAATAAATGAATAAATGTAAGGCACAAGAGATCAAGATATCTATATCTATATCTTTTTTTTTGGTCACGCAGGGGAAATCCTCATTGATACCCCCGCCCCTTGGGGAGAGCGGGGGTTATGTTGGACTTCTACCGACTAAAACCCCTGCGAGGTGCCTACCGCTCGGACTGTGGTGGGGGGAGTCAGGGGAACTACGCCTGCATTCCCTCCCGTCTATATCTATATCTTATTAAGATATGTCAGAATATCATTACATATTCCGCTCGGATACTGACAGATAATCTTTTGGAAGACCAACTTCCTAATTTGAAAAAAATTGACGCGACAGGTCAATTTTGAATACCGATTCATTGTTAAATTCAGTAAATGTAATTGCCTGAGACAATATCCTCCTTCACTGGTACAATTTCGATCTGTCATATTGCGTCATATTCCGCTATCTGCCATATTCCGCATCTTGAATTTTGTAATTTTGTCTCCAGATTCGTAATTAGAGGCAAAAACCTGCAAATACCAAAGTTGATTTGAATCAGCTATCTTTTTATAATTTCGGTTCGCCATCTTGAATTTTATAATTTTATCTCCAGATTCGTAATCGGCGACTCTAAAAACCCCTTACTGACTAGTTCAATGGAAGACAAGTTTGGCGGAAATCACATGTAATATGTACAAAGGGTTGAAATAGTGCTTTTAGGTTCAGGGATCAAGAGGTGATTTCCACCCTTAAAATGCGTTGTCAGCCGATATAAAAAAACACGTGTTCAATATTTTTCAATGTTCTACGTTCATGCCAAATTTTATTGGAATCGGTAAGTGATAGTTGTTAGTGTTACTTGTAAGAGGTCGAAAACATTTCTTGAAAAAATCATTTTAGCGATGTTTAAACAGCATTTTCAGCTTGATGGAGGCGGAATATTGAAAAAACATGAAGAATAAAGCTTTCTTAATTTTTTTATGTAGAATACAAATCTGCAGTAGAAAATAGCGGTTTCCATTAAAAAAACAAAGTTGACCTTCAAGTAACCTTCAAAATGAGCTCCAAGGTCAAGGTCAAGGTTGTCATCAGATGACTCTCTCTGAACTCAACAACTTTTATCTGAAACATTTTTTTATTCTGAAAATTCATTTCTGAAAATTTGATCATTCAGAGATATTTACATGGAAATTTTTAAATGGGACACTGTATGCTATCGTAAATATGTGCTAACTTAAATATGTGTGTTATCATACGTATATAGTTATAATACTTGTGTAGTATAATCATTGTAGAATTAACCAATATATGCACTGGAAATTTGCTTAAGCGAATACGGCGATGTACAGTGTGGGTGGTTGTAAGTTTACAATCCGAAGTGTGAAGGTAGATTGGGTTAAGACAAACATAAAAGTCCCATACCGTTTTGCGAGATTCGCAATAATTATCGAGTTATTAATGACAGAAATCTGAAAAGTGGGAATGCTCCGGCATAGATGATTGGAAAAGCGTTGCAGCTGCTCAGGCTACAGCGCGGCCCAATCGATCCAACAACTGTTGCCGGTGCGCAGCAAGGGGAAAAACAACGCGTTCGTTGTTTTATCTCACCGGACCTATGTCTTGCCGCACGCCGCCAACAGTTACTGGGTCGAGTGGGCCGCGCTGTGGCCTGAGCAGCTGCAACGCTTCTCCAATCATCTATGTCGGCGCGCTCCCAGTCCTCAGATTTCTGTCATTAATAACTCGATAATTATTGCGAATCTCGCAAAACGGTATGGGACTTTTATGTTTGTCTTAACCCAATCTACTTTCACACTTCGGGTTGTAAACTTATAACCCCTCACCCTGTATACGGTTGAGATATAGTGCAATTATGTGTAATTAGATTGCAATTCAAATTCAAAAAAACCATCTACTCATATATGATATTTTGGTTTATAATATAAAAAATGAGAAATTTGAAAATTTTATTTGGAATAGAACTAGCAAAACAATTCAGGAATCGAGTCGAAGTTTAGTTTATACAACAATTATATGCAATAGTTATATTAATGAGTGTTGATATCTATATATACTAACTTTATCTTATTTCAGCTGAACCATTCATTGAGAAGGCTTTTGAAACAGCATCTGCAAATACGCAATTAGTGATAGTGGAAGTTGGAGATAGGCCATTGTAAGTAGTGAAATATATTTTTATATTTATATTATTGATAATTTCATTAAAATTATCACGAATATCGATAGCAGTATTTGTAAACTGTTATTTGCAATATTTGCAATAATATAAAAAAAATATTTTTTCTTAGATCAATGAAAAAAAAATTCTTTAGATTAATGAAACCAAATATAACTAGTTATTTCTTAACAATCCAGCAAACATAAAATAAATATAAAAACAATTATTATATGACATACATAATATAATTGCTGTTATTATTTATTCATATTGAAGTTAATTAAGTTTCCTTTATAATAACATTATAACTGTATTAAAGCTGTTATGTCGTTTTGTTATGTATTGATTATAGCAATATAACAACAATATAACTTACAACAATATAAGCAGCTCACTAGTAATGATCCATACATGGGCAGCAAAAAAAGACATGTCAAAACCAGTAATGATTCATATTAGGGATACCAAAAGCAATTAATTATTTCGAAGTTAAACATGTATATAAGTCCAAATCTTTTTTATTATTTGTTTAATCAATTATATAGTCTCTATCATTATCCACGACCGTTTGTCCTCTCTTTGGTAAATTTTGGATTCCTCTTTTACAAAACTGTGCTGGCTGTAATGAAAAATTTGATTCGAAATGAACTTGAACATTACGGATATTTTGAAACTTTATTTTAGAAAGAATGTTCCATAGATCGAAACAAATAATACTTCAATGGCACAATATCGGATGAATATCGGCGGGTGCGATAAAACATTTCTATCAAACTGCTTTATCTTTTCTTGAATTATTTTTACTGTATGAGGTCTAACATTATTATGTTGCAATGACCCTTTTTCTGTTGATTAGAGCCGGAAGTTTATTTAAGAAATCATTATGCATCTATATTAGTTGTTGATAATAGATATCAGAGGTGACTGTTTCACTTGGTTTGAGCAATTCGAAATGAATTATGCCAATACAATCCCAAAAAACGCACAATAGGACCTTTTGCAATATTAGGCCCGGCTTAGATATGGGTATAGCTGATTGGTTGAGAGAAAACCATTGACTGGAGCGCTTCAAGTTGTTCTATAATATCAATTTGTCGTTACCAGTGACCATTATGCTAAGAAATGGACAATTTTTTCTTGTAATTAATAATGATAAGCAAATTTTTCATCGTTGTTCTTTATTTATACTCGACAAGTGCTGTGGAACTCAAATGCTTTGCCCATATATCTTTCCGATTTTATCAAAGTATCTTTGCATTGTCAACTAAGTACTCCAAGTGTGTCAGTCATTTTTTACATAGTCAATTTTGAATTCGACTTAAGTTTTTAAGTGTTTTTAAAGCATCGAATTTAGGAACTCACCCATTTCAAACATTATCAGATAAGCCAAAATCGTCACTGGCAAATTTTCTGAACCATGACGTTGACACTTATTAATTTTCAAAAAGTTCGCAATAATCACAATTTTTGTTGTTGTAACTGTTGTGTTAAATCTTGATTGAAAATGAAACAACATGCAATAATGCATGCTTTTTCGAAGCTTGGTAGCCTGTCATTTTGTTCTGAAGTAACAGAACACAGTTTTTTGGTTGTAAACTGTAACGCCGTGACCTGCGCGCGTCTCACCCACGATCGCTCGCGGTTCGCCCCTCCGTCGGATGGCGCATTCCTGACGCGCGTCTCTCGCGGTGTCGGTACGTTCGGTCGATCGGCTCGCCCCGTCGTGTACCTGTCGTCGCAGAGTGGGAAGAGAGACTTATATTTTAGACAAAAATCTACCGACAGTACAGTTTTCAACCGATTTCAAAAATTTTTTTTTTAAGTTACTCATGAAACATTGCTCTACAACGTAGTACTGCGGCATTGATGAAAAAAGCTGAAATTCAAAATGGCGGATAGAAAATGAGTGACGAAAATATTAAATTCCTGTCGATACTTTTCTCTTATAATATTAAATATCAGGTGTAGTAAAAAGAAATCCATTATTTTTGCATGAAATTGAAGGCTTTAATTACCATAGTTAGAATGATCCGATTTAGGTCAAATATGCGCCGTTTTGTTCGTAACTTGTTGCCATTTTGAAGGTAATTTCATTATGCCTCTCTCATAGAAGCCTTCGTCCCTATTGGCAAAAAATTGAGACAGTCGATTTTCACAAGCCTCTCTTGAAGCGAATTTTTCACCAGCAAAATTGTTCGCCATGTACAGGAACAGATGGTAATCACTTGGTGCCAGGTCCGGACTATAAGGTGGATGCATAAGAACCTCCCAACCAAGCTCCCGGAGCTTCTGGCGAGTCACTATCGATGTGTGTGGCCTGGCGTTGTCCTGATGGAACACAATTCCTCTCCTATTGGCCAAAGCTGGCCGCTTCTGGGCGATTGCTTCCTTCAGACGGTCCAATTGTTGACAGTACAGTTCCGAGTTAAGAGTTTTGCCGTAGGGGAGCAGCTCATAGTAGATAATTCCCTGCCAATCCCACCAAACACACAGCAAAACCTTCCTGGCCGTCAATCCTGGCTTGGCCAACGTTTCCGCCGGCTCACCGCGATTCGACCACGACCGTTTTCGCTTGACGTTGTCGTAAGTGATCCACTTTTCATCACCAGTGACCAACCGCTTCAGAAATGGGTCGATTTTGTTGCGATTCAGCAGCGATTCGCAAATGGAAATTCGGTCCATGAGGTTTTTTTGCGTTAACTCGTGTGGCACCCATACATCGAGCTTCTTTTTGTATCCAGCCTTATTCAAATGGTTCCAAACGGTTTTTGTGCAATCTTTAGCTCTTGGGCAATCGAAACAGTGCTTACATGACGGTCGGACTCGACAATGTCCATGATTTTATCGATATTTTCGACAATTGGCCTTCCAGTGCGTGGTGCATCTTTGACATCGAAATTACCGGAACGGAATCAACGAAACCAAAATTGCGCGTGATTGGCTGTTACAGTATCAGGACCATAAACACTATTCACATTTTCAGCTGCCTGGCTTGCGTTTTCGCCTTTATCGAAGAAAAACTGTAAAATATAGCGTATTTTCTCTTTGCTAGTGTCCATCTTTGACGCGCGCTCAAACAAAACTGAGTCAACTAATCACAAAACTGTCAGAAAAGTTTTTTTAATACGAAATCTCATCTTTCTAACGCCATCTAATGGAACCCGATCGGACTTATACAACGCGAGATATAGATAACTAAAGCCATCTATTGGAAAAATAATGGATTTCTTTTTACTACACCTGATATATTGGGTGTACAAATTAGTTTGGTCCGTTTTCAAAAGATGGCTCCGGCTGTTATGAATGGTTCATAGTGATTGCCGATTTTGGCGGTTTCAAAGAGGTTAGACATCTGCCAATAATGTTCAGTTTATATCGTTTTGAGTTTCATACAAAAACCTTGCTTTTTACAATGTTGAAAATGTCGAATTTTGTGTTAACCAAGCAACATTTGCAGGAGGTTTTGATTTTCTGCTTTAATTGGAAGAAAAGTGCAGCTGAAGCCCATCGAATGCTTGTTGAAGTTTATGGTGACGCTGCTCCAACTGATAAATCATGTAGGGAATGGTTTCGACGTTTCAAGGATGGAGATTTCAGCGTCAAAGACAAGCCTCGCTCTGGACAGCCAAAAAAATTCGAGGACAAAGAATTAGAGGCATTACTCGAAGAAGATCGGAGTCAAACGCAAGAGGAGTTTGCAGAATCATTGGGAGTGAATCAACAAGCCGTTTCCGTACATTGAGAGACATGGGATTTATTAAAAAACAAGGAAATTGGGTGCCTTATGAACTGAAACCGAGGGACGTTGAAAGGCGATTTTTCACTTGCGAGTAGCTAATTCAAAGGCAATAAAGACAAGGTTTTTTGCATCTGATTGTAACTGGAGATAAGAAGTGGATATTCTACGACAACCCAAGAAGAAAAAATACTACGCCAAGTTCGTCAATTGTTGCCATCGACCTCAACATCAACACCAAAGCCGAATATACATGGTTCGAAGATCATGCTCTGTATCTGGTGGGACCAAAAGGGTGTTGTTTACTATGAGCTGCTAAAACTTGGAGATCCCATTACGGGCGATCGGTATCGGCTACAATTGATTCGTTTGAGCCGTGCATTGCGAGAAAAACGGTCGAAATACGAGCAAAGACATGATAAAGTTCTTCTTCATGACAACGCTCGGCCTCATGTCGCAAAAGTCGTAAAAAAATATTTGGAAACGCTCAAATGGGATGTTTTACCGCACCCGCCGTATTCTCCGGACATTGCTCTTTCTGATTACTGGTTGTTCCAAAGGATGCTGCACGATTTGGCAGGTCACCAGTTAACTTCTTTCGCAGAAATCGAAAATTGGCTCTAAACTTGGATTGCCTTAAAAGACGAGTAATTTTTTCGAGATGGAATTCGAAAATTGCCTGAGAAATGGGAGAAAGTAGTAACCAGCGATGGAAAATACTTTAATTGATCTGTTCATTCATTTTGTTTTGAAATAAATACATTTTTTAACACAAAAAACGGACCGAACTAATTTGTACTCCCAATATTGACACTGAAATTGTTTTTGAGTCGCTAAATATGAATTTGAGATCAAACTTAAAATTAAAAACCCAAAATAACATGACATAACAAAATAACATTTATTATAAAAGTCAAAAATGTCGAAACTTTACAAGATTTATTAGATTTACAATAAAAAAGATTATTATGCACTTGGCACATAATTATTTAAAAATTTTCCATATTTTACTATTAAATTTGTATAAAATAGCAGAATTTTGTTATATTGCTTTATAACTGCTTAGATAATAAAACAATATTTAAGCCCTTATATCACCTCAAGGTATCGGCCATTATAAGGGTACTGGTTTTTTGTTTTTCTTTGTTGTTTATTTTTCGTTTTTTTCAAGTTTTTAAATGTTTTTTTTTATTTTAAATGTTTATGTTATATTTGTTTGAATTTTTTTCTACTTACATGTTTTAGGTTAATATTTTTGTCT